ACATATTGCCACACACTGCAACATATCGCCACACACTGTAACATATTGCCACACACTGCAACATACCACCACACGCTGCATCATATCGCCACACACCGCAACATACCGCCACACACTGCAACATATCGCCACACACTGCAGCATATCGCCACACACTGCAACATATTACCACACTCTGCAGCATATCGCCACACACTGCAACATATCAGCACACATTGCAGCGTGTCGGCATATACTGCAACATATCGCCACACAGTGAAGTATATCGCCATACGCTGCAGCATATCGCCACACACTGCAGCATATCGACACACACTGCAACATATCGCTACACATTGCAACATATCGCCACCCACTGCAACATGTCACTACACATTACAACATATCGACACACATTGCAGCATGTCGTCACACTCTGCAGCATGTCGCCACAAACTGCAGCATATCACTACATATTGCAACATACCGCCACACACTGCAGCTTATCGCCACACATTACAACATATCGCCACACATTGCAGCATGTTGCCACACTCTGCAGCATATCACTACACATTGCAACATATCACCACACATTGCAACATATCGCCACACATTGCGGCATGTCGCCACAAACTACAGCATATCATTACATATTGCAACATATCGCCACACATTGCAGCATATCACCACACATTGCAGCGTATCGCCACCCACTGCAACATGTCGCCACACATTGCAGCATGTCGCCACACATTGCAACATGACGCCACACATTGCAGCATGTCGCCACACATTGCAGCGTTTCGCCATACGTTGCATCATATCGCCACAAACTGCAGCATATCGTCACACACTGCAGCATATCGCCACAAACTGCAGCATATTGACATAAGCTGATGTATTACTGGAATATAAAAGGACAATAGCAGACACAATCACGCTGCAGAGGTGTAACCATAGTTACCAGCAAGAAATAAATCAATAAAACCCATGCTTTTAAATATATATATATAGGCAAGTCTGCTTTACAGTAATGTCATGCAATGTATTACAACGTGCTACGATACAAAATTAAAGAGTTTAGTGGTAGGCAACCCACGTGACATGCAACACGTGACATACAACACATTACATCATGCACATGCTATAGACAACACAAGAAACCTTTGACAAAGTTGTTGCCATCGTGTTTATTATACGATTCTTCTGATATGTTGTCCAGATCGCTTTCTAAATTATCGTTGTCGTCTGATGCCGAGTTAATTCTGTGCTTATTGGTTGCATTATGGTGCGTCCATGGGTATTTAGGGGAAGGGCTTGCCAGTGACGAAGAGAATGGCGATACGGACGACCTTCCCCGTGATCCGCCAGACAAGGTGCGAAAATCTGCGATGAAATGTTGAAACGGTTGGACTATTCTGGGCATGCACATAATTATAGCAAACAAATATGTTACGATGCTTTCACAAGAAAAAAAGCTATAGTGCGTGTACCTTCCATATCAGATTCCTTCTCCAGTGACGGAGTTTGTTGCCATAGCGATGGTGTAGACAGCTTTAGAAACAAAGCTGACGACGATAGTTGTACTAGGATATTATTGTGGGAGATTAGAGAGTGCAAGTGTTAGTACTAGTAACTACATCTACAATAGACATATGTTTAAAGAGAGACACTATGATGTAAATGATACAATACAAACGTACCGAGAAACCAAATCGCTTAATATATAGGCGCATTGTTCCTACCCAATGACAGATAAGATACAAACTGCCGTCACACTTTCGTAACTCGTCGCAAAATATGCTAACTTACTCAGTACTGGCAATATTACTGGAAGCAATCTGATGTATTGGCACAAGATCAAAAAGATTCGACTCATTTAAAAGTTGACCCCCACCATCCCGACTCTCTGGCATCACACTTTAATATGAATTAGAAACGATTTACCTGGTGGTACGCTCTCTACACCGGAATCCGGGGATTCTGGACGCGGCTCAGGACTGAAATAAAATAATGGCATTGATCAGTTCTCGATGTTTCGTAACCATTTAGAAGCAATATTGCTATAAAAACTGTAGCGGTGGTCGACGCGCAGCGCGTGTTCGAATTTCATGTAAATAAACAATGTATTTTACACGCGTTGTATACGTAGCTATAAGTCCCGTATCGAACATGACGCGGCACGACGACTGCCGCCCTTAAACTATAACCATTTAACAGTAAATTTATATCACCTCTTCACCGGTTGTGGAATGATCACTGGTTTCTCTTTTGCAGGCGGTGGCGGCGGTTTTGTTTTTTGTTTAGGTTGTGGAGGTGGTGGTGGTGGTGGTGGTGCTTTCTTTGGCCTAGGCTTTGGTGGTGGCGGGGGTGTATACAGCTTCTCTGTTCGATGTGGCCTTTCTAATGGCACTGTTGGAGGCTTCGTCTCCCGTTTTTTAGGTTCCCACTTCGGAGGAGGAGTCCAATCGCCCCTATTACCCTGGAAATCAATAGCTTTCGTAGTTTCTTTGTCGCTTTTCTTAAGTTCGAACGCTTTGTATTTCGGAATGTTCAGCTGTCGGTCTTTACTGAAAGGATCGACTGCTTCCGTAAACGTTTTTTCCTTCTTTTTCAAAACAAAAAGTTTTGGTGCTGTTGGATGAGGATTGAATAATATTTTAGTATAATATGATAATTAAGAAGCCAACATTAAAATCTGTCATGATATAAGTGCGCCCTTATTTAAAAATGAACGACATGCATGATTAAACACTGTAGTTGGGTTCAGTGCTGATGATAAAGTGAAATAGAAATAAATTCTACTGGAGCAACTCGCCATAAAAGTGTAGATAAAAGACAGACAAAAGTATAATCAAAACACCTTTAAAAACCGTTTTTTTCTTCTTCAAAAACCATGTCAATTTCACCAAAAAGTATAGACATATTTTGTTTTATTTTATTTTATTCTGTCTTTAGACTGTCCACTCAACAGTGACAAACTAAGCATATTTCGCCAGACTGGCGATATCTCTAGTTGTGAGAATGGCGTATTGTCGGGGGGACGTAATGTTTTGTATTGTATGTGCCAAATACATGTAAAACACCACAATATTTGTGTCGCGATGAGTAGCGGACCACCGCTGGATAACTGTAAATACTCCTGAATGTCCACCGAATATAACTAAAATAAAAACAAATCTGGAAATAACAATTCCACACTTGTAAAAGTATAACACACGTTAGAATCGGTAATGTACATATTCGATGTTATATTAATTTCTGACAATCATTCGAGGGATCCCATAATTACGGTTGGCGGTTGTGGACAAACGTCTATACTTTAATTTGCATAAAACAATTTATACTGAAATACAAACGAATGTCTACAACTGTCGAACATAATCAACTAAAACGGATTACGGGACAAGCACATTCACGTTCAGAAAAGACTGGCGTACTGCTCCAAACGTTAAAACAAGAATAACGGGGTACTGTAGAATGAATAGTGAACAATTAACAGAATCATAACAATGCAGTTCACTAGTATAATATAAAGTGAATATCTTAATATAAGGGAAAGCCATTGGAGATATGAAGTTAGTTACCATCGTTACGTTCTCGGTATAACGATACGCTTGATCATTTCTGACACTTTCCCATAATTCAATGTTTTCTTTCTAAAATCGATATTATGACGTTTTCTGTTATTAAATTTATTGGGCAAATGTTTCGTATTCGCCGATAATTTGCGGCCCCGAATATGCAGATCACAACGTGCCTCTATTTGGATACTATAACGAATAGAATGTGTTACTAAATTTAGCAATCAGAGAGAAGAATCTCCAATGGCCATTTTCTGGTGAATGAGTGCAATTAACAAATTAATAAATTAAAAATGAATAAAATGTTATTAGTTCGAGGAAATATGACATTTACAGTACATAGTGAATAGATGTAATGTTATGAACATGTAAGTGTTATATTACTTCATTAAACAATACTAAATTAGCTTTTAAACCTTTGTACAATCCTTTGCGTTTTTCCTTATTGAATAATCCTGAATCCACGATGTCGTCTGAGATGGGAAACACAAAAGGAAGAAAGCGACATGGAAAATGATTGGTAAATTCAATTGAAGCACGCCCTCTTTGGAATATTGATGTTGTTGACTACAGAGGACGCGCGACAAATGGGTTATACCAGTAGGTTAGAAGCGTATCACGGGGTTTAATGTCAGGTCAATAAATGCAAGTTATTAAAGGAATGAGTAATTAAAGCAAAAACAACTGCGTATAAATTTCAGGAATTGTTGAAGCGGAAAACGAGTTTAGCCATTCTTGTAGTACACAAACTATTTGTTCAAACCTACCTTTCCAAAGCTTGGGCTTTGGTGGAGTTGGTTCAGGTGTTGGCGTTGGCTCCACTCTCGGTTTTTCCTGCTCTTCTCTCAACATATCAAAATATCGTTTAACATCTGATTAAAAAGTGAAACAAAAAAAGGTTTCTTAGTATGATGACAAATTGTTTCGTACACCATGTAAACGACGATGCAGTATTGTCGTCATAGCAACCATATATGGACACGGCAATCACAAATAATGTGAGAACGAATTATATATTTCCCATTCACAATTTTAAGCAAGGACAATATTTCACACAAACTGGAAACAAACATAAACATATAATATTACACAGTTAGTAGCGCCACCATATGAATTGGGTTATAATGCCACATGGTGGTTGTGTCTGGAATTGGTATGATTCTACGCATGCCCGAGAACATGTATATTAAATTATAAAGCCACTTTCCCAATGCGCATCATACTACGCATGTCGTCACAGATGTATCGAATCAACTAACTATATATGTTACGAGGGGGGTACAGACCAGTAGTTAGAATCTATTATGATTAATGATTACGTAATTCACAGTGAAACACGGACTTTTACATAACTGGTTACTATGGAGACGGGTTAATACAGTTTGAATATGACTTGACACAACTTTATTATATTTCCTAGGAACCTTGATTAAATCCCATATACTACACCACACACCATTATTACTAAGATAGCTGGGATAAAAGTGTATAATGAAACATAAGATGAGCTCTTCCAATCAGTCGACACACTCTGATAAAGTTCCTATCAGAAACCAGGCAAAATAGTTTCCATAACCCGGTAAGCTATAATCGTCAGATTGAATTTATCAAAGATTTGAGTATTGTTTTTTAACTGTTGCAATATAAATATACTGGACAATGTCTTTTCGTAGTCAACTAAATAGTTTCTTGCGAATTGAATCATTCGCATGTACGATTCAATACATTAGCTAAGATCATTTCAACAAAAGAATCTGTTTTAATTGGCGATAAAGAATGTACTTGTCGTCGTTTTTGTCATCGTCGAGGTGTGTGCGAATTTATTGGAAAAGCTTATCAACAAGTAAAATATATTGTCACATTTCAACCTTCACTATTCGGGGAAGTGCCCAAGCCCGATTCGGAGTTGTCAGAATTCGCCTCTCCTCGAAAGTCACGAAGATCTTTAGCAGCTGAAAATAAAGTTATTGAAGAAAATATTTAAAAATTTAAAATTCAATTTAATTTACCCATCAGCTCACTGAAATCACTGAAGTACGTCATCAAATAGAACGGCCGAACTGTTGAACAGATACATTCATATAGACCATTGGTGGGGGTTTGTGGTGCACGTGATATGTTGCCCCATT